TGTGGCCTGCAAGGAGCTGAGTGGACAGGACCTCAACCCTGGAGCAAAACGGAGAGAGGAGGTGATGCTAGTGCAGCCGTGAGACAGAAAACTGGACACATCTGCTGTACTGCATCATTATAATATGCCGTTAATGCACCAGCTGTACAATTTATTACATTTATTTATTATTTTTTTGTCTTGTTTAATGGTTTTTTTGCTCTGTGTGAGGGAATTCAAGCCACACATTGCATGTAGTCTATCAGTTTGTCAGTCAACAGAAAATAAACCAAAAACAATTAGATCATCATTTACTACACAAAAACACACAAAGTGTGAGAGTTTCATACTTTTTTGGTTATTTTTCTGTGATGTTTTTAATGGACATTTTTAAAGTTAGCAGCCTCTTTATGTACTATAAAAGAGTAATAAAGCAACCCAAGAATCCAAAAATGAAAACTTTGGCATCTGGGTTAATGAATGAGAGTATTGTCCAGCAGCTGATAACATAGTACATACATTATATTTTCAATTTAAAGGCTCATAAACATCATTTGCCTGCTGTAACAGCTGAGTCAGGAGAGTGTCAGAGCTGGTTGTTGGTGAAATAATGTAAACTCTGTTCTTATAGGTTCAGTTCTGTAATGGACTGAGTTGGCATATAGATCTGGGGGACTGGAAGTGGTCATTTATTCATCTCTCTGCAGTGCTTTGAATCTCAGTGACACAGCTGCCATCAGGTTTTTGGGTACACATCTTAGATAAAGGCAGGAAGTGTTCTCTGCCTGGCCCATCTCTGACCTCTAGATAGACGTCATATTGATCTGTCCTGTTGTGTATTGTCATTCTACACATTGTGACCTCCCAATGACCCCACTATCTGATAAGAAAGGATTCAGAGATAAGTGTGTGCAGTCATGCCTAGAATAAGGGTATAGTATATGCTGTACTGACATGGGTGGAGAGTTTATGTGTATACCAGTGTGTCTTTAAAGGATTTCACAAATAAGTCTGTGTAACTATCACTGGTATCTGGTCCACAGACAGGACAGCACCACATAGATACATACAGTCACTATGTTGATAAAAGTTTTCCAGTTCCCTGGAAGGGCACCGTGAAATGGGAATGATGTCAGTGACATTAATCCTCAGTGCCGGTGTAACACATTTACAGTAAACAAACATGCTTGGCACCCAGAATACCCCTGTGCTGTGTCTGGAGATAAAGAAATGTGTTCTGAGGAAGAAGATGTTTTTAAACTACTGTGTCATTTTGTGTTCAGGTTCAGTGATAGCCACGGTGCCAAAAGAAGCAGCAGTGCACGTATGTGCTGCTGTGATTCCCAGCTGGGTGAAAGAAAGATTGTAGAGAAGCTCATCTAATTTGAAAAAGCAGACTTCAAGATTTACTGTATATATCTGAACACTCCCTGTTACTATGAGAGTGACTCAAGACTAGCTAGAGGTCTAGTTGGTTAAAAACAGATGAACAAAAACCTCTTGTACTCATTACTACGATATGTGAGCGCATGGAATGGCTCAGTGTGCACTGTAGCACGCAGCCTGGACTGTTACGAAGAAGCTTTATATTTTCCTTAGTGTATCGAATTTATTTTTTCTCCCACAGCGTACAGTACTGCATAATATATTGGCTCCTGCTTGCTGTGTGTTTACTACTCTGATAGTGAGATTTAAAATTGGGGAGTGTTTTTTTTTTTTATTTTATTAAGGGAAAATGAACACATGCGGACACAGTAGGATGATAAAATGCAGCAGACGTTAAAGCGCAGTGCAGATGAGAATTGAGGGAAGATCAAAAGCAGCATATCAGGATTCAGTGTGAGTAAGGCTGAGATGGAGGAGGGAAGGAGGGTGAAGTCGAGGGGTAACCCCCCTTTCTAGACGAGGGATTCCTTTACTGCAGTGATCAGCAGTCTCCACCTCCTCTTTTCCACCCCCCAGCAAGTCTGCTGCTCTCATCGCTTTCTCTTTTCTCCCTCTCTCTCTCTCTCTCTCTCTCTCTCTCTCTCTCTCTCGCTCTCTCTCTCTCTCTCCGCCTGCCTTCTTTTGTTCCCTGTCCTCCTCTCTCTCTTTCTGGCCACCATCTCCGCACACTGCAGGAATGTCTGCTGCAGGGTACAGTCTATGCAACGCATGGTTGGAAACACAAGTGCACTTGTGACTCGCACCTTTTTACTCCAGCCTTCATTTGTCTCCATCACTTCCCTGCTGCACCTCCATCTATCCTCACTTTCTCCCGCTCCACACCTCTTCCTCTCTTCCAGCCGTCCTCCATGCCCACTTCTCTCTTTCTCAGCCTCTTAGCATTGTGACATTGATTCCATGGTTGCCGTGCTACTGACTGCTGCTATGCTGTTAAATTTTTCACGTAATGTTTCAATGGCTGTGCACTGAGGGAGAGGAAGTTCGGGGTGGGGGGGCTTCGCTCAGTCTCCCTGCGACTACCGCTGACAAACAGGCTGGTGAACAGATGGGTGGAGAGACACATAGACACCTGCCAAGTGCAAACACGCAGAGGTAAATTCACAAGAACATGCCACTCCACAGATGAACGTGCCGGCAACAAATTTGCATATGTTTGCAATGCTGCCCTGTGTGTGGGTGCACGGGTCGGCGCCGGTGGTCTGGGTATCTTGATGAAATCTTTCCTCCTGTCTTCATGTGGCTGAAGTTAAGTGAGTGAAACTGAAGCTGGAGCACTCTCTGCAGACTGTGCAGTTACTCTAGACCAGCCAAAATGCTTTTCTCTTCACGTCGTCTGATCGGCAGTTTAATCCCTGTTTGGTCTCTTCTTGGTGCCACATGGGGCGGTTTTTTCATTTAAAAACACATTTTACCAGGACGTTACCACAACACTGACTCATCTATGGCCTGCTGGTGTCAAAAACGGTCTGCATGTATGGACAAACGCACGTGCACGCTGCTGTGATCCCTGTGATGCAGCATGAATGCTGCAGTGGTAACAGTTACTTTTCATAAATGTTCAGCGCCATTCAGGGTGGCAAGAGACAGTGAGGGTTACCTGCCAGTTTGTAAAGATTTATGCACAACGTGCTACTTGTATTTGGAGTGGTCTGAGTGATTTGGGCTGCCTGACCGAAAGCTGCATTAGACAGTGGAGATGTGATTGACAGTCACATTCTGTTTGACAGCCATTTAATTAACATTGAATTGACTGGCAGCTTTGTGGGTCAGGATGATGCTGGTATTACAAGTAGTCCCTGTGCTGTGCTGGCCCTCTCTCGCAGAAATATATTTTTACTTTTCTTTTTTCAGTTTTTTTAGTTCTTGTTTTAACTAACTTGGAGTATTATGTTCATATAGTTGTCGGTTACCATAAAGCTGACTGAAAAGAGTTTGAAAATCTCTAAATTTGAACTTGGTGTGACCTTGTAAAGTGTTGACAGTGACTGGTTTTAACTAACTTGGAGTATTATGTTCATATAGTTGTCGGTTACCATAAAGCTGACTGAAAAGAGTTTGAAAATCTCTAAATTTGAACTTGGTGTGACCTTTTAAAGTGTTGACAGTGACTGTCTGAGACAACCCTGAGTAGGCGAAAAACAAATCAAACAAAATTCTGTACATAACAATGAAATCTGACCCAGAACCATGAAAGGTGAGCTACTAAACCTCCGTCCTGCATCACTGGGCCCTCTCATGAGGCATGCAGTGGGGGAAAATGGTTGTACTGTGAGCACTAGAACCTCCTCTTATTGGTGCCTGTATCACAGTTAGCCAGGTTCTTTGTACTGCTGATTAATGATAAAATGTGGACATGGCACTCAGGCCCCCAACTTTAGTGTAAAAAGCCTCGTCTCGATCTCACTTCTCTGACCATTTGCTGGCTGTCCAGCATAGAAACACGCCACATCCATGGTGTTTGTTTTTACCTCAGATGTAGAATGCATCTACTGTAGTTGTAGTGTACTATAGTGACAAGCTCTACACACAAATGCACACACACTCGCTTGCTCTCCTCTGATTTTCAGTCTAGCGCTGTTAGTATAGAGTCCTAAAAAAGAAGCTGGGAGAACTCTAAATCTCTGCCATTGTAGTTTGGCTCAGAGAGCATGTGCATATTGTAAATCTGATATTACTAGAGTTGACTACAACAAGTGAGTGCATTAAACTGAGGCCTGTTGGACACTGCATGCCATGCAGTCAGGTCTGTGTGAAAGCCTTGAGTGTGAGAGATGTCCTCTGCATTGCTCCAGGCACCAGTGATCATACATTAGAGCCAATCATGAGAGAAATAGCAGCAGTAGAGGCATGTTTTTTTTGTGCACACACAATTAAAACATTGTTTTAGTGGTGCTTTTTCTTGCTTGATGTCTGATGTCTCATCCTCAGCCTTATTTGGTTTGTATGAGTGTGAGGAGATCTAAGAGCCCTTCTTATGCCTTAAAAGGCTAGATCCATCTTACCAGAAAATGCGATGAACTCTGTAACTTGAAACGTGCAGCACATAGGGACACTCCTCCTTTGCTGTAGTAGCAGTATACAGTGCAGTAGCAACAAAAAGAGAGGGTTTCCCCCAGCTCTGCTTGTCTTCATCCCCTCCTCCCTTCAGTCTGTGACACAAGTGCAGAATTCATACTGAACCACAGTGTTGTTATTCATTTGGCTGCCTTCTTTATGTGTCCCCCACTGTGGCAAGTGGTGGTCACCGTGTCCGGATACTTGTATCTAGACAGGATGAAAAAACATGCGCCGGCCCCTTGTAGAATATTTCCATGACTGGGAAGCTGCGGATAGTCTGTGCTTCTTGGGTGGGGTTTCACTCTGGATTTGGTGACATTTATAGAAACTGGAACAGAGGAAGCCATTTTGTAACCTAATGCTTGGTCAGCTATGCAAATAAACAATTATGTCATAGATTGGGGTAGTGTCATGTTGCTGAGTGTCACACACTGGCTAACAGGATGGAATTGTTACATAAGAGAAAGTTATGTACTATTGGAATAACCAGCTTGTTTACCCTCTCTTCCTGTCTGTAGGTTTGGACAGGCGCCCCCTCATGGCATGGCCAGAGACTGTTGTGTTCCTCCGCTACTCCAGAAGGTAAGTCCTTATCTCCTTGAACTTCATCCATCTCACATGCTACCTAGCAAATCCAGGCTCTGTTCTTGTATGGGTTTAGGTTTGACCATAAGAGCTGTATCAGAGGTTTCTCCTTTATAAAAATAGAAACAAATCCAGCCTCCGCCCTTATTAAAGGTAAATGAGCTCTGCACTAGAGGTATTCTGCACTGACCAGACAGCAGAGGCTCATTTGGAAGAATCATTAATATGGAATCGGCTTGTCTGTGAGAGATGGGGGAGAGATGGAGAGGAAGAGAGAGGTAGGGGGCAGAGAGGAGAAGGCAGCAGCATTGCAGAACATGCAGATCTGATTTTAAAGTGAACTTTAATAGGTGTAGGATTGGAGCAGAGGTAGGCACGTGATCCCTCAGCGATGTGGCTGTGATGACAGGGCAGTGAACACAAAGGAAACAGGCACAGGAGGAGAACAGCTCAAATGCTTTGAGGCAAAATTTCAAATGAATAAAGAAGAGGGTGTGAAATGAAACTGAGCCCAGCTGGCTGCTGTCTGCATCAGCTGATGATTCTTCACTTCTTGGTGCTGTCCCAAGCAGAGATCTGCTGATTCACTGCAGCAGTTCAGAGCACGAGGTAGAGGTTGTCAGGTGAAGCAGCAACAAGGCAGCTTGGATCACCTGACAACCTCCTCTGTGGGCTCTCAGCCCTCTGCATTGAATCATGTCCCTGTCATTAGGGGCCATTCAGCATTATAATGACATAAGCTGGCTCATTATATCTGGAGTTTGGTTATGGACCAATAGAACTGGATTACAGGCCATTTTTAGTATGCCAGAAAAACAGAATGCCATTAAGCTGATCACAGATGAAAGCTCCAAATGCACAGAATCGCCACAAACTTCACAGTGGTGTTTTGAGTGCGTCCTGCTAGTCCAAGGTGCACCGTGGTTCATACCATCTTTTTTTTTTTTTACTAATACAAAAAGCTAGAACCTTTTAAAGTATGAATGAATTCTGATGTGTACCTCAAGGGCTATTTGATTCATCAGTGCACGATTTAGCCTTTTGTGGGAATAAGGAATGTCGGCAGCTGGCATCAGTGAGTCAACATAACAGTTCTGTGAGGAAAAGGTTAGCAATATATTATGCTGTATTGATTTCCAGGAACTGACAGTCTAAAGGGGGCTCATTTGGCATATTTTGGCAGTCAGTGTATTTCTGTATTTGAGCACACCAGTGAATACAGGTAAATGGTAGGCGCATCGAGGTGCACAATCACTGACATTCGATTTAAAATAACATGAATTTGTTGCTCTTTCAGTCTGCCTTGTTCTAATGTAGATATTGTAGTCGGTGTTTACAGCAGTGAGATCAGATAATATCAGTCACTGAACTGTCAAAATTGTAAAGGTATTATTTCCTGTATCATAGCTAAGAATGTTTCCACAGGCGCTAAGAATAATTTGTATAACTTAAGTAAATGATGGCAAAAAAAAGAGAGACTATTACTGTTAGTAGTAGTTTTGTGGAACCTCTTTGTCAGATGGAGCTGATGTTGTACTGCCCTTTACTGTGTCTCACACCACACTCCTCTGTCACGCTCAGTCAAAATAAATCTTAATATTTTAGAGATGAGGTATCTTAAAGTTAGCATAATGGAGCCTGAAGTGTTGCTGTAGACTTGCACTAAAGTTGTTTGGGAGTATCCAGATGACATGGTCAAGTAGGCTAATGGGCAAACTGACTGTGAGTATTTTAGCATGACTAAGTAATTCATGACTCATGATAATTCAGAAGCGTATAGTCCAGAAGATGACAAGACTAACTGAGCAAAGCAAACAATAAGCTGCTCCTTGACCGTCCTAATTAAATGTTCAGTTAGCTCAATCAGAGAAAGCAGAGCAGATGAAAGCAAATTTCCATGGTTCAGTTGATGTTATTTTATATTTTTCTGCTTCAGTGACATTTGTCTGACTTTAGTTTTCTTGTCCCCAACCTCCTCACAGAGGTGACAGTGGCGTATCAGAATGGGCTGCCAGTGATCTCAGTCAGTTTGCCGTCCAGGCGAGAGCGCTGTCAGTTCACCCTCAAGCCTTTCAGTGACTGTGTGGGAGTGTTTCTGCAACAGCTCCAGGCAGAAGACAGAGGCATTGACCGGGTAGCCATCTACTCCATGGGTATGTACACATGCACACACGCGCCCGCTATATCCATTTACTCAAGCATGTCCATACATGCTTTCAAGTGTTCTTGTATTTTGGGGCTGTTAAGTGTTCCCGCAGCTGTGGCTTTGCATCAGAATTTGCTGTCACTGCATGCACTATAAAATGATTTTTCAGCCCTCAGTTTTTTCAGACTCACTATACAGGGACAACTGGTGCTTGAAATATTTACTCATATTGTTTACATGCATCTGATCTTGTCTCTCATGATAATCAGACAGCAACAAGATGGATTATTTCCCTTACCGCCTCCCATTTCATTTGTCTCTCTGTCCAGATGGAGTGAGGGTTGCCTCCTCCACAGGTATAGACATCCTGCTGCTGGATGATTTCAAGCTCATCATTAATGACACCACATACCTCGTGCGGCCACCAAGGAGAGGTGAGGACTGGAAAAGAAAAGGCAGGGCCTGTACTTGTTGCTCTGAGTCATTGCCTCATGGTTAGCATCACCACATGTGTACATGTGCCTGCCACAGAGCTACTGCCCCATGAGGAGGCAGAAAGGCTGAATGATGTGAAGTTTCTGGTGCAGCAGCTCTACACCACCCTTCACATTGAGGAACACCAACTCAGCAAAGAGCGTGCGCTGATTGGACGACTGGAGGACCTCAACGCGCAACTCCGCCCCCTCGAGAAGGTCTTAACTGCTGACAGTGCTGACATTTTTGTTGTTGTTTATTCAAGTTCACTGCTGTTGTCAGCTAGACCCATGTATCACCACAAGGTTTTCACCTTGCCAGCCAAGTGTTTGACAAGTAACAGTAAAACATAAGTACTCCTGTAATTCAGTGCTCACCGTGTTCTTGCATACCTGGCCCATGGAAGAGAAGATGAGCTGAAGTTGCTTAGGATTTTGAAAGCCTATTTGTTAATCCTCTTATCAGCAGACAGTTATTTTATTGTATCATTATCTTAAGATATCAGGCATCGCTTCTATTCAGCCAATAAAGACTAAAGGCTAACGCTGGTCATTTTCTATATTAGCAGTATTTAAACAGAGACAAGCATTTTGCATCTATTCGCTGTTAATGTCTGTCAATTTGTCAATCCCGGATTATCTCATTCGTCTGTGCCAGACCTGATAATTTATTTTTTGATGTTGCCCCAAAGTCTCTGAACGGCCATAACGTTTTATAGCATCTGAAGTAAACAAGAGTCAGATGTCCATGCACAAGATCTCTGGATATTCTTAACAGGGGCTGCTTAACTTTTTTGTACTTAAACTTCATAATGTGATTTTTGGGGAATTGTGTGAGATTTATGAAGTGTTGGGCTACAGTGTTACCAGATTATCTCTTTAAAACATTGTGAGATTTTCCATGAATAATAACTATTAATGATCTAGTTTTTAGGGTATGTGTAATGTGTGTCTTCTTGACTTCTGTGTAGGTGAAGGAGGAGTTGAGTAAGAAGGCAGAGCGGCGTACCACCTGGGTGCTGTGGGGTGGCATGGCATACATGGCCACCCAGTTTGGCATCCTGGCCCGGCTCACCTGGTGGGAGTATTCCTGGGATATCATGGAGCCCGTCACCTACTTTATCACCTATGGTACAGCCATGGCCATGTATGCCTACTACGTGCTTACACGCCAGGTAAGACACAGCTCAACAGTAATATCATACATATCTTCACATTGATAACAACTTTGATAATCCATTATCAATTTAAGTCATCAAAAAAGGCAAATCATTTGGGGGTGTGGCTGTGGCTCAGGAGGTAGAGCGGCCTTCCCTTAATTGGAAGGTGAGCGGTTTGATTCCCGTTCACCCCAGTCACAACATGTTGAAGTGTCCTTGGGCAAGACACTGAACCCCAAGTTGCTATCGATGGCCAAAGCAGCCCCTTCAGGGACAGCGCCACCATTGGTGTGTGTGTGTAAGTTGGCGCTGCAGATGGCTGCCTCGGTTCTGTACTGAGACAGATTTCTTGTGTGTAATGTACTTGGCCAGTAAAAGTGAGCATCATTATCATTCTCTGGTTCCAGCTTCTTAAGTTTGAGGATTAGCTTGTTTCCTCTGGTTTATGTCTCTGTAAAGTAACTATCTGTGCATTTTGGACTGTTAATAAGACAAAATAAATAATCTCAGGATTTCATGTTGGACTCTGACAATTTTATGGGTATTATTTAACTATTTTCTGACAGTCATATGTATCACCTTACTGAGAGCGGGCACACTGCAAAATAATGCGACAGATCATTGATTCTTCTGGGGAAACTGCTTTTTGAGCATTATGTAGAAACTCTTCTACCACAGAACAAAGAATCAGAGTAATGAAATCTAATGGTTTTCTTCTCTTTGCAATGCTCTGCACTAAATAGTGATACTTTAGCTGTTTTAAAGAGATAATCTGGTAACACTGTAGCCCAACACTTCATAAATTACCACTAGGTTTATCATCAAGTGTGATTTAGCTAAAGGACTAGAAAGCACAACATGGAGGATATCTGATGAACTGGTTCCTCTTATAAAGTGTTCTGTCTGTCTGTTTATAATCTGCAGGAGTATATTTATCCGGATGCTAGAGACAGACAGTATCTGCTGTTCTTCCACAAGGGGGTGAAAGGGAGACACTTCGACATTGAGAAGTACAACAAGCTGAAGGATGATATTGCTGAGGTACAGTTGGTGGCTTTGCCATGTAAAACAAAGGCGGATCTAGAACATTAAAATGGGCACTGCATTTCACTCATTTTACAGTTCAGCACTTGGATTTGTAATGGCTCTGCATAGATTTAGTTTCATACCCTTCCCCATACACTTAATTCTCATATTTTTCACTACACCATCCCTATCTTTCCCTGTCCACCGTCTCCAGGTGGAGTTGGATCTAAAACGACTTCGGGACCCACTCCAGCTCCAGCTCCCCATTCAGCAGATCAGCGACAGTAAAAATTGATGAGAAGAGTGATTCTGTCCTCTCTCCCAGCCCCTACAACCTCTCCCCCTCTTCCCACCTGCCATCCAACACCCTTTCCTTCCACTTTTATCCTTGCCTCCTCAGAGCCCTCTCCCCATGCCTCCCACACCTAATAATCCCATCCCTTTCTTGGCTGTGAGAGTTAGGTTTTTCTCCTTTTTTTTGTTTTTTCTCTTTTCTTTTGCTTTCCTGACTAAAAACTCCAGTTGGAATTGCAAATGAAAACTACTAAAATGATGAAGAGGGATGGTGAGAGTACCAGGAACTGAAAACACTCTCACAGCTGAAGAATGGTGAGGATGATGAAAAGGATGAAAGTGATGATGAAATAAAGCTGGGCACTATGGATATGCCTCAAGTCTCCAATGGGACAGCCTGCAGGGAACTCCAGGGGGAACATTGGAGCTGTCACACCTCTAGACACTCCAGGACACAGGACATGCAGAGGGACGTTGTGTGTGTGTGTGTGTGTGTGTGTGTGTGTGTGTGTGTGTGTGTGTGTGGGTGGGTGGGACTTTCAGGGTACACTGGATCATCGCACCTACCAACTTTGAGGGTCGACACAACAGTGTAGTCCTGCTTCCTCTACTGTCAAAACAAACACCTACTGTTGGTTGGGGCAGGCTCTGGGAAGACTCTGTCCCACATGTTAAAGTTTACAAGGACATCCTGACTGCAGTCCCAGCATCAGGGAGACCTTCTTCTTCCTGTGGCTGAACTCTGCTGCCTCTCTCTCCTGGGGCCGCGCCTCCTCCAGGTGATGGACAGTAGCTGTCCTTCCCAGTGTGACCTTTGTCAGGAGCTTGTCTCAACTCACAGGATGTAGGGATGACAACGCCTCATTTCCTCTTCCTGTTGTTGTCCTGTAGTGGCCAGGCCAGCGCAAGTATAAGAGTACTACCGACAACAACATCACTGTGTGTTCTTTTATTCCAAAAACTATTTTGGCACTTTTTATTTTGAAAGCCATAGTATATTTGTTATGGAAAGAATATAAATATAAATATATATCTATATATGTATACAATCAAATAAACTGATGACCAGAGGCTAGTTTTTTTCAGTGGGGGGAGGAGCTCATCTATAAATGTCATTTCATGATGACCTCATTAACATCCTCTGAAGATGGACCCTTGCTAACAGTCCAACGCATTGCGTCATATACGCACACACAGCATTATACTGTATTCATTTACTACCTGGAACTAACTAGTTGTTATCCTTTTATGACCAGCACAATATATTTGACATTAGCTATCTCTAGGATGGATGTTGGGCTTCTGTGAATGGCCATCAAAGGAGGGGACAATGTTGAAACCAAATCAGGGTGACAGTGACTGATTGGATTTGATTGTTTTTGAGCAACCCCTAATATGATTGTGGGTAATCCCACCTCTTATCACAGATACAAACATTGCTGTGGAAATTAAGATAATGAAGTGTTAATTGTTGTTTTAGTGATGACCGCTTCAGACAAACCCACTGACATGTTATAGTTCGATATATATGAAGAATTTAATGGATTTAAAACAGTTAGGAGCAGAATTCGAGTTAATTGCCTGCAGTTCAGTATCCCTCTCTTTTGTAGTTGACAGGGTTGTCAATCTTAGATGTGTAAAATTGCCACTTCCACATTTTCGGTGACCCAGCCTTTAGTTTAGCAGCATGTAATGTGCTTTTTAAATCCTTTATAATTCAAAATTTTTATAATTTTCCTGCATGAAGCTTATAAACTAAATAACAAAGAGCTCCATCTAAAAAAGCACCGTGGCATTGAACCACAGAGGTTGTTTTTTTTTAATCCTGAAACAAAGTCTGAGCTTTCTCCTCCCACTGTTGCTGTAATGCCCCCCTGCTCTCTAGATGGCAAGGCAGGGTAGACTGCATGCTGTGGTATGACTTCAGTAGAAATTTGTGAATGTGTAGGAGCATTATTGCAATTTTGTACTTAATCGGACAACTTTCCTTGCCACAGCAAACTGAAGTCTCTTCCCCCTCATTGGTTAAATCAAAAGTTATAGAAGCCATGTTTATGTTGTCCATTTATTGGGACGTGGTCACTGATTAAACCTTTGCAGCTTCACTTTGTTTTTTGTCCAGGGTGTGGATTGGTGGCCCCCTTTCCAACTCCATTTATGTTTCGGTAAAAGGTCTCAAAGCCTGTTATTTTTACTCTGAGCTGCTGTAGATCACCTCTGCAGAGGGGAAGCACAATGACATTACTCTAGTTCAAGATCAGTTCCTGCTTGTGTGGAAAGAGCTGGCTGAACTGAATCCTGCAGAGGAGATCCTTGCATTAGGCCAAATCAGAAATTAGTCATGGCGATCTCAAGTCAGGATTTGACCTAAGCTGTTATTCTGTGTGTTATCATCAAAGGAAATGGTGCCTTTCGGATGATTAGTGATTTGAATGACACAGACGGCGTAGCAATTTAGTAAACATCAATGATGATTGAGAAAGTCAGAATGAAAGTCTCTTATGTGGAATGACACCTTCACATAATATAACATTTGACATAAAGGAGGATTCAATTTGAATGTTTGGCAGTGGAAATCAATCTCACTCTGTGTGTGTGAATGTGTTTATTGAATCCGCGTGTTGACGAGCGTGAGTGCACTGGGGGCAATGTTAAAATCACCATGTTCATAAATTCATGCATTCCCCTAATCGCTACCTGTCAGCCGCCATAAAAATCAGTTCAGCCATTATCCTACTTTATAGCTCTTATTAGATTGCTTCAGATTTGTTTCTCCCTTTCTTATACACACTTGGTGAAACACAGTGGTGTTTCCTTGGAGCTGTACTGTGGGAGGTGAGAGTTGAGGCCTCAGCCTGCAGTCCAATCTTCTCCTCTGCTGTTTGTACCCGACACTTCTCTCCATCATCACCTCCTCCTTTTTCTCATGCCATCCACCTTTTATTGCCTTATTTCCCCCCCCTCCCAAAAGTAAAATATATCAAATATAGGGAAACATTATTATAAAGAGGGTGTTGCATGAATGTATGTTTACATGGGAAATTATGTAAAAATAAAAAAGATGATTTATCAAAAAAGAAAAAAGGATAATTTAAGACAGTTGTTTGTAGAGGTTTCTAGTTATAAAGGGCAGTGGACAGAGCTGCATCTTTAGAATCTGCCCAGCCAACCAACTGCTCAAACCTCAGTCTCATTTTCACCTTATTTACTCCCATAAACCTCTCCCTCAGTGTGCATTTATACTTCCCAGCAAATGGAGAAACACCCTCCATCCAGTGCACTTATAAACAAGGCTTTATGGTTCTTACCTCAGTTACTAACATCCTGAGTCTGAGTCCAAAGGAAGTGTCAGGCACACTCTTTTCGCATATTGGGGAACACTCCCATTCTTGTCCCTCTGTCCGTTCTATATTAACCACCCCTTTCCCTTCTAAAATCACATTATTATTTTAGTTTTAAATGTGTGTTCAGTTCTGAATATCATATTTGTGTTCACCTACAATATGTTTAAATTGCCTAAAGAGTAATGCAGGCAGAGGAGCTGTTATTATATTCTGTTTTTCTTGTCTTTTTATTCTTCTGTTGACATATGATGCTGTAATGTTGGCAAAAAAAATGTAAAATCCTGTATCATTTATGAAATGTATAAAAGAGAAATGTAATTCAATTACCAATAAAATCCTTATCCAGTTTTTGGAGCCAGTGGTCCTGTTGAGGTTATTGTTATTCTTGCTGGATGTACAGACTTGGAGATTTATGGGAATATTACAGATATTTCCAAGGTCTTGTCTGCCTCCTCTGGTCCTCCTTGGCCTTTAGCTTTTCCTGTACAGGACATCCTATGAGAAGACTTGTGGAGATAAACTGTTTGTATGCAATTGGCGCATAAATCAACACATGTTTATGATGGCCTGTTGAAACCACATATTCTCTAAAAATGTTACGGAAAAGTATAAACAACTATGATCTTTTCTTTTAAATCTTGATCACTGGATCAGCGAAGAAATAATACTGTGTGCTGTGCTAGCAGCTCTGTGAGGCACAGGAATGCTTTGAGCTAAATGCTAACATACTCATATTTACAATACAATCGTGCTGAAGTTTAGCAGGTGTGCCGTGTATAATCCTTGTCATATTCAGCATCTTAGTTTAGCATGGTAACATTAGCTAATTCACAGTAAACATTAAGTGCAGCTGAGGATGTTGGGAATCCAGGTATTTGGTCATAACAAAAGAATTGGGCATGTAAAACCTTTGGCCTAATGATGGTGCTTTAATTCAAAGTTAATGGATTACCCCCAAGTGATGAAAGTAGATGAAAAATATGGACATCACCAATGTGCTTAGGTTTGGTCATCTGGGGACCATGACTATCTATCTATACAAAATTTATACAAAACCCATCCAATCGTTGAATTTGTTGTTGGAAGTACAGCCCCACCAAAACATTTGAAGGTGCACAAGCCATATTCTGAGCTCTGCTCAATTTGCACCTCATCATTTGAGAGCATGCAGGCATATATTTGTTAAGTGCAGAATCAGATTTGAGAAAGCAATCCCATACAAGTGTGTCATTGTTTCTGTGTCAGCATTAAAAGTTTTAAAAAGTACACAAAACAAGTTTCATGTGCTATGTGGTTTGAAAATCCGAATTTGAGAGCGTGCGGGTACTGAACTGTAAGAGCAGAAACAGATCTGAGAACAAGGCAGGAATGAATCGTAAGTGTAACATGTTTTCAGCAAACAATCACATGTGATTCTGCACTTACAAATCTGCACCTGCATGCTCTCAGATGTTGACTTGCAAAATGAATAGTACTAGAAACTTGTTTTGTGTGCTTTCAAACCTTTTGGTGCCAACAGACTTTCACACAAAACCCAGTGGAGAAATCTGAGAGTGCAGAGTCAGAAACAAGGGCATGCAAGGCCATGCTCTCAAATCTAATTCTGCACTTAATCTGTGCCTGTGTGCTTGCAAATGCTAAGCTTTAAACTGAGCAGGGCTCAAAATGTGGTTTGTGCACCCACAAATGTTTTGGCATAGTATGCCATGCCGGTAGAAATCCTACCTGTATCCTTTAATTTGATGCTGCAACAGCAGAAATCGCTAGACAAACCACAGTTGAAAATATAATTAGTTTACTCAAAAATCTAAACTTTGAAAACTAATGGGAGGACCATTAAAAATTAAAAACTTACTGTATGGCTTTCCTATACACAACGCTGTTGCACAGTAGTATAGTGCTGATCCTGGCTTTTCCATAGAGACTTGCAGCCACAAGGACTAAAAGTGTCTTGTTCCACCTCATTTCTTTAACAGCCTTCTAGATTAATGACTCCACTGATTTAATCACATATGAGAAAAGAACTGCAAACATCAGGTTAGTGTGGGCAGCTTCCAGAAGAAAAAGGGCCAGCTTCCAGACATTTTCTGACCCATACTGGTGGTCATGTACTGAATCAGATAAGAACAATTTCACTCCACTGTCTGTGGTGAGGGTCTCAGTCTACTTTCAGTAAATTCCTCCTGAGAGTTCAAACCTCGCTGTTGCCCTGAAGTGAAAGATGTTTCAGCATGACAATAATTAGATTGGTTTAATGTTGCTGGAGATTAAATCATTGCTCGTATTTCTATGCCCTGTAAATCAGAAAGGATGAGAAACAACATACAGACATGTAACAGTATCAAAAGACTCAACCACACTTTTTCTCAGCTCATGTGTGCGAGGTGGAAGGAAGTGAGTGTGCGGTCTGTAACAATGGGAGGATGGTGTTGTTCCTGGAGTTGGGGAGCAGAAGGTCAAGGTGAGAAAGACATGACAGCATGACACATACAGATAAGATGGACATATTAAAGACAGCCTTCCCCTAAAGACTGAACCAAAAGAGCTACACACCCAAGCACACACACACTCGGCTTGGATTATCTTTTATCCAACATTAATAAAACACATGATTTTTTTGGCGATTGCCAGTCTGCTGCAGGAGGTTCTTGTGGTTGCAGGTGTAGGTGAGTGGAATGTCTCTTATGTTTACACCCAAAACAAGCGTGCACCTCCTATATTAAGATTATAATCACACTATTGTACAGCAGAAAGTTGGAATCTGTTCTGTGTTCATGGTGATTTTTGTTTTTTTAACAATAGATTGAAGGTGGACATTATACTTCGGCTTTGTTTTTGTCAACAAAGCCAGTGAAAAGACCAAAACCAACAATGTGCTCATCTTCCAGTACTTTTCGACTTTCCTATCCTACTTTCTTCTCTCAGCTCGAAGCCTATTTATTTCCCTTGAAGGTGTACAACTTCAAAAACAAATCACAAATATACCTCCACTTTTTAAAAATGCTACCACCTGGGCACTGTAGCTTTCAGGAATGTCTCTCCAACCAGGGTAAACCAGAGACGATTTGCATAAGGGATTAACGCACATTTTGTACTCTGAGTATTTGCAGCAGCAGAATTGTGTATGTATAATTGACTCAGAACAAACTACAGTGTTCATGTATGTGTCCATGTTCAGTGTAATGAAGGAATTTGTCATTCAGTGCAGCTTTATCACTAATATTTTAATAGATTTTGAACTATATTTTCTGTTAATATCAGCTCATTATAGGTTTATGGGATTTAAATATTAACAAAGAATACATATTATAATGAACTAAAGTTTGACACTGTACAAATAAGAGGCAGGGGTCTGACTCAGGTTAGGCATGGCCCACTTAATAGTTGTGGGAAGTTATTAAAGCCCATCTGGCCCCATCAGGATAGACCCTCCTGGGTCAGCTCTGTCCTCTGCTCCTTCTGTGCTGCTTGAGCTGGAACACAGTTGGTCAGTCATAGTCTCCACAATTATCATTTATGCTGTCAGTGGGGCTCAGGTCATGGACGGATCCTTCTGCTTGTATTGGATCAGTGACAAGATGGACTATCCATTAGTGGATGGAGGCAGAAAATGTTTATTTCATAGCTCCAACAAAGTAAGGTGCAGTAAGTGAATTTTGGAGTGTGTGTTTGTGTTTTCATGTTTAGTGACATTATCAGATATAAGGAAACGAGCAGTTGTTTTACTGTAAACCTCTGGTTGAACTTGGCCTCTACTAGATGGCACATTGAAAGCACTTTCCTTTCAAGAAAAGCGTAAATATAAATATTTTATGTGAAACAATCCAACTAAATGGAAAACCTAAAGCACTAGTTATAGTGGTGGTTACTGCTCCAGTGAAGTGTCATGTTGTGTTAGTTGTTGACTGTCATGTTTCCTGACTCTGGCCTGTTACCAACGATGATTTACTGGTGAACTGACCAGCCTCCAGCTGCCTATTCTCAATGATCAGCACGATCCAGCCTCACTTTGCCCAGTCCCATCATCCATCAGTTCTTCTTCTTTTCCTTTTGTTTTACATCTACTTCCTAATTACACTACTGAGAGGGTATGAGAACAGGAAAGACTATTGATTGTTTTGCTGCACTTTGTTTACTCTGTTTATTCAGTTGTTCTCCTGATTCGGCACAACTGACTGCAGTGAAAAGTAATCACTGACAAAATTTATTGGCTAAAAGCCGTTCGTTGGATAGCTTGTTGGCTTTTAGTTCAGTTAGAAGTGATTCTAGGTTACAGTCTATTTTGAAGGTCCAAAGGTTTGGTTCATGGTAACAATTATAGGGTAAATGTTTTGGTGCTTGTCTAGGGACTGAGCAGACATTTGAACCTTTCCCAGAAGATCTAATGGTATTAGCTTGGATTAGCATCAGTACAGGGTGACTTCAGTTGAATGCAGAAAAAAGATCAGAAATGTAATTTTTCAATTTTGTGTGCACATAAACAAAATTAATAGGACTGCCATTACTGTATATTAATGTGGAGGCAGATATCCCCAGTAAAAACCTTCAGTAATAAAATAAAAACTATTTGCATGACTGTACTAGGAAAAAAATAAACAATCATGTTTTCATAATTTGGGTGAACAGAGCCTTTAACAGTGAGAGAAAAAAGATTTTAAATAAAAGTAGCAATACCACAGTATAAAATACTCCTTTAGAGGTGAAAGTCTAGATTTAACTTCAGTAAAAATACATAAGAATTAGCAGCAACATATGCTACAGTGTACAGTCTTAATGTGAAAAGTGCTAGAGTAAATAACTGCTCCCCATGACTGTCCTTTCAGACTGTCTACATTGTTCAACAGTTCCTCATTCTCCTTATCTTAAAACATACATTCACATAATGTCCATCATTTTTTCCAAACACGTACATCTAAGTCTTTTTCATCTTTTCCATCCCATCCACATACCTCAGCCCTGGACCCATGCTTTGCCTACATCAGCCTGAATGAACCCTGGAGGAACACAGACTACCATCTCAACCAGTCCTCTGGTGTACCTCTGTGTGATAGTCACGTGTCTGGAGAATGGTACCGCTTTACTGGCATGGCCGGGGACGCCATGCCAACTTTCTGCATCTCTGAGAATCACTGTGGCACTCATGCTCCAATCTGGCTCAACGGCAACCACCCTCAGCCCCATGAAGGCATTGTCACCCTGCCTGTGTGTGCCAGCTTCAATGACAACTGCTGCCGGTGGAATGCTAGTGTGGATGTGAAGGCCTGCACTGGGGGATACTTCGTCTACCGCCTGCCCAAACCCTCAGTCTGCTTCCATGTTTACTGTGGCCGTGAGCGAGCTTGATGTCTGATATGTAAAAAGTCTATTCTATCACTGAATTTCCCTGTCTGTTACTCTGTTAACACGTTTGTGTGTGTGTATGTATTTTGCACAGATTTCTATGATATCTGTGATGAGATGGATTGTGCAGGTCCCAGATGTCCCGAGTCTGACTGTCGCTGTGCACCTGGAACTGTCCTAGGACCAGACAAACAAACATGCCTGGGTGAGACAGATACAGAAGTGGGAAGAGAGGCGAGAGATACTGTAATGTATGCAACAGACAATGACAAGGGAGAGAACAGGCTGGAAATGATTTCTGGAAAAACAACAACAAGAGAAGTCAATCAGATTTGCGGTCTGATCACCCATTGTTGTGACAAATAGATTCAAACTGTATATTTGTGGATAAGCTGCTTAGTCAAATATCCATGTTTACTTAAGTTAATGGGATATTCAAAGGGCAGAACTAGAAAAAATAAAAGACAGTAGAATTAAGTGGATTTTTTTCATTAAAAAAGTAACTACCTTTTGAAGTGCTCTGATAGCCGAATGCCTACCATATACACAAGCACAGTGTGCAGTTCAAGTTCAGCCGCCAACCTATGTTGCAGGTTCTCATCTCCTGTCTGTCTCTTTCAAAATCTAATTACCCCATAAGATAATATTAGGAGCAAAATACTTTTTCATTTCTCCATCCTCATTCACTCTTTTTCTTCACTGTCTTGCGTGCTTAGTCAGTTAAAGTAAGGCTAATCTGATAGTAAAATCTAACCTAGGTGTTGTCTGTATCCTATGTTCAGATGTGAATGAATGTGAGAAGGGCAATGGTGGCTGTGCAGAGGTGTGCGTGAACACCAAAAGCTCCAGGCGCTGTGAATGTGGGCTGGGCCGTGTGCTGGATGAAGATGGACGCAACTGCAGAGGTACATCTCTGTACTAATATTCATGTGACACATCACCCAACGTTGTACGAGCATAGATAATTAAACCAGGGAACCACACATTGTTCTTCATGTTTCCCCTCTTCCTCTGTGTTGCCTCACGAAGAAATAGCAGGGTGCCACATTAACAATGGAGGCTGCAGCCATGGCTGCTTTTCGCTGGTGGAGTCCTATCAGTGCCATTGTCCCAGGGGACTGGAGCTGGGAGAGGATAAACGCACATGTCAGGGTGTGTATGTTTATGAGAGGAAGAAAGTATAGTTAGACAATCAATCAGACAGGAATGGAGGCTGACACAGGGATGCATGGTGGTATTAACCTGGCAGAGATTTGACCAAACTACATTTTTCAGGGCATAACTGATATTTTTTAACATTTCACTAATCAATTATCATGTTTTGCTGCCGTTCAAGTACTGTAACTGATTAATTATTTCAGTACTAATATTGCCATTAGGATTGATCAAAATCAAAAATGTTTAAAATGTTCATATCACACCTTTAAGAAAAAGACTATTGGCAAATCAGTGTATTTGTCTCATGACTCAAATTCATACATTAGTTAGGTAAGTGTCAGGCTGATGATGTAGATTGCTATCAGCATGTTAAAATGTACATACCTGATCTTCCTTTACTGCCACAGTATCTTATTTAGTCTGTTTCTATGTACTTAGCCAACATGATGTTGTACCAGTGCATTGTTTCATGGTTTGTGCCATTTTATTGGACATTACTGTATGTTTGCTTGCAGTGCCAGTCCAGTGTGATTCCAGCTCTATTACAGTGTCAGTTCCTAAGGACCTTGTGGGAGGACTGGAGCTCTTCCTGTCCAACTCATCTTGTCGAGGTGTCTCCAATGGCACCCACATTAACCTCAGCTTCAGTCTCAAGACATGTGGCACAGTGGTGGAGGTGAGAGGCATTGCTTTGAGCATTTAGACTGGTTTGTGCCTTTAAAGTGGGCTGTTTGGGGTTATCCCCTCCTTGAAAAAGTTATTATGGTAAGTTACTGTAAATGCTGTCCCACAGGTGACAGATGATAAGATTGTGGGGACCAACCTGGTGACAGGCCTTCCCAGGAGCAACTCAGACAGCAGCAGGGACTTGATTGTCCGCACCAGCAAGTTGGTGCTCCCAGTCACCTGTGAGTTTCCAAGGGAATACCATGTGTCGGATGGATACCAAGCAAGTCTCCGCAGCTCAGCCATGGAGCTCTCAGGCCGCAGTGAGGGGGTCTTCCCCTTTTCCCTGGAGCTCTTTAAGAACGCAGAGTTCTCCGAGCCATACCGAACCCCGCCCCAGCTCCGCCTGCACGACTCCTTGTTCTTTGGGGTAGAGCCAAAGGAGAGGGTGGAGGGCCTCTCTGCACTTGTGGAGAGTTGCTTTGCTACACCAGGTCCCAAAGCTGATCAAGCTGTCAAATATTATCTCATCAAAGATGGGTGAATAGTTTGGAAGTTGTATTAGTTTTAATGCCACATTACATACGTTACCACACTCTAACAAAAAAGCACTGCTGAAACAATGAATCTCTTACTGTTTAAAGTAACAAGAAGATTCCATCCACTGTTGCTGAGCACAGAAATTGTGTTATTTATAACACTAATACAATCACTAGACTACATCAACAGGAAATCCAAAGCCAAAAATGTGATCATAAAAAGTGACATAGCGATGACCACTTAGCACAAAAGATGTCAACGCAATCAAAAACACAAGTTATCAGTCAGCATATCTATCTAGCCATCTAGATGGCATCTAGCCATGCAAATAGATAGGTTTCATTTGTCCAAGGTTAACGACATCTGTATTTCTGTTTTCACCCCACTACAATGGTGGCCGCTGCAATTCTGCTTGTGGAGCACACAATAAAAAACACACACACAAAAAAAAAACACAATCAGTGTCCCCATAATTCCAGACAATTCACAGAATATACTGTCATCTCACACAGACAGTTTCTTAAGTAAAGTCATTTTAATAAAGGATAAATCCTCTTGCTCATGCACACAATAAAATTTCTGAAAGCCATATTTTCAATATGGATTCATTAATGTCAGTAAAGTATTTGGGCAGCATGTCAGCAGGATCAGACCCAGCTGCTGTGTCTCCACAAAGCCTTAGTATTAGCTGCTTGACAGTCACAGCAGAAGAAATCTACACTCCTTCAAGGAAATGTCAAGTGAAAATGCCAATAACCTTGTACTCTATTTTGGGTAGCAAAATCAAAACACAGAAAAACCTTATAATTTGGGGAAAACCACCTTTGGCAAAACATTTCTTCACTGAACCTAAAGTACGCCTTCCTCTTCCAGCTCTGTGGACACCACCATAGCAGGCCTTTACTCACTTTTTATAATTTCCTATTAAAAATGCGGCAGTGTTTCGGAGCCTTAGGGCAGCTAACCTTGATTAAGTGGCTTAAAATATACATGTGACATTGAGTAATGTACTGTATTAAGATATCACCCGTTTTATCTCTTTGGCTTCCTATTCAGGTGCATCTCTGATGAAACTGTGACACAGTACTCATCCAAGGACCAGCTCTCTAAGCACTATCAGGTCCCTGTCTTCAAGTTCATTGGCAAGGACAACCGAGTGAGTAAATAAGCATGCTGGGTGCCAGCTGGCCAGTGTGTGTGGGCTTACAGTATGTCTGGGTAGCACTATACTGTAAGGACTGTAACCACATCAGTATCCTTACACAGTGATGGCAATCTTCTTTATTCCTGCTTAAAATAAGCTTGTTTTCTCTGTTTGCAGCAAGTGTTCCTTCACTGCCAAGTGTTAGTATGTGGGGTAGAAGACTCCCGCTGTGCTCAGCAGTGCCGAGGACGTGTCCAACGGGAGGTTTGGGCCAGTGAACCTCAGGAGGAGCACACACTGAGTGGAGGCCCCATCTTCATCCTGCCTTAGTCATGATGATAACATACCGCCTTGAGAGCATGCCAGCAGAACAAGCCAGGATCACAAACACTGTGTCTGCATTTAGATTAAAGTTTATTTGGTATTTAAAACACCAAACAAATGTAGGCACACACACACAAAGAGCAGTCCACAGCACTGTCCCTTTTAAGTCCCACATATGCAGTACATGTTCAGTTTATGCACTCCTCTTTTTTCTTATTTCAAATGTCATTCATTTATTTGTTGATCACTTCAATTCAGGTTAATGTGTTCAAAGTTCTGTGTCTTTTCCCATTTGCTTTGCAGCACAATTTACTGGGATTACAGTGCATGACATTCCCATTAGGAATCATTTTGCAGGGTCACAGTTCATTTGTAACAGCTACAGCATGAAGGATGTTTTTCTAGGTCACATATTTAGGCATTTCTCAGGCTTGATTACAGCCTAAAGATTTATATTTCACACTATCACTGACTTAAAGTACACGTGGAACATCTATATGTACACTCTGACACACTTGATTGGGGCTGGGGAACATGTCACACATTCATGTGTGCTGGAAAAGACATGCCTAGAAACTATGCATATGCTTCATCATGCTGACAGATTAAAATTAACTGTGTCGGTTAAGTCTTAATTAGTCATGCATGTATTTATAAAAAAAATCATGCAAATAACTTACATCAAACATGAACATAGTAGCTATAATAGAAATTACATTTACATGAAACTGACTTAAGGTTTCAGTCTAGCTTGATAAATGTTAAATAGCATGACACAGCGGATCTTGTGTGCCATAGTAATTATCTTGTATCTTTCTGTCCAAAAAAAATTAATCCAACTACAATATCCTGCCCATTAGCCATTTTGTTTGGAGTCATCAAAGTAATTTATGCTAAAATAAGGTCATTAATGGAGTCACTGAGGTCTGAAAACTGCCCAAAAAATGAAATGGAGTAAGACGAGTGTATTATGCATGAGGAGTTAAATAAGTTATATTCAGATACCTAATATCTGTTAGTTGCCTACTGCCAATGAATAAAACCTCTTGGAAAGTTGTCTTGTCTTTGACATAAAGCCCATACATATACAGTATACCTTGCAAAAATACCTTTGACTCTGTTATTTATCTGTAAAAGTGTCCAGGAGTTGTCCACAGTGTTCTCTCACAGTTCATCCTTCTCGTCTCCCTTGCAAACACACGCTGCCCTCTGGCTGTTCATGTAAGGCTTACAGCCCAGAGTCCACACTGTGTTGTAGAGAGCATCTACCATTGACTCACAGGCTAAGACAAAAAGAGAGGGCAGAGTCAGTATTTGATCTGCTTGGTCATATTCATTCCACCCAATGCATTTCGGCATAGTGCAAGAAAAAGGGGAGAAGTAACAAAAACGATCTCACCTTGTACCTTTGACACAAAGCCCAGGCTTTTCTTAAGGTCAGCGCAGATGCCCCGCAGACACAGGCGAAAAGTGGAGTCACAGTTATACTTGCTTGCACCACAAGTGTCATAGCACATGTCAAGCTGGTTACAGCACTTTGTCATAACAGGGATCCCCAGGTCAAACTGTGAAAAAGAAAGAACTCTATTGTTTCAGTAATAATTCAAAACCTAGTATTTCCAGCTGTTATGTTTTTAGTTAGCTACACTCTGTGGGCTTCATGATGTGGTTCTGGGCTCTTGGTGCTATAAACAGGCCACCTACAGCAGCATTCACCTGGAATCCCACCAGAGAGGAACTGCAGCCATTGGGCTCTGGGAGCTGGTAGCCAGGACGCGGTTGAGGACGATCTCCTAAAAAACAGAGAGCAGTTCCACGTAATCCTTGAACTAAAGTGCATGTAGAGTACATTAACAAACTAATGTCATCATGCACTCCTAGGTGAGGATGTATATCTTTGTTCTTGTCATTTTACAGATCAGACGTACTGTAACGTTTGTTTGAGGACACGTGTACTGATTGTGTGACTGTAGGTCCATTTACCTCCCACACTGATAAAAGGTATGTATCCAGCTTTCAGTATCCGCAGCCTTAGGGCCACATACATTATACTGAATCAAGAAATAATCACGATAAACTGACAGCAGAGGAATTGATTACATTTGAGAAAAACACAACAACAACAAATCTTTTGAAATTTCTCTGGTCCCCTGAATCAGACCCACACCTCAGACACTAAAAGACTTGTTGTTCTCAGTAATGTAACAGTATGTTAATTCATTCTTACCATATGTGCAGCGGTATTCACACACACCATCATGTCCCCCCACCAGCTCCACCAGGGAGTCAAAGTATCCATGCATAGTCTGGAAACTATTTCTAATTGAGTTTAAGCTCCAACTGGGATCATCTTCATGCACCAAGGGCCTGGAGGTGGACAGGTTTTTCTGGACTGGTCTGATATCATTCCCCTCCTCCTTCTCAGATCTTTGTTCCTGCGGGACAGTTTCTTCAGTAAGAACTTGCGTAGCAGGGGCATCCACAGCAGGCCCATTGCTGTCTGTCGCTGCCTCTTCAACTGGAGCACCCTCTCCTACTGGAACATCCACTTCAGGTTTGTCAGCTACTTGGGCATCTGCAGAAACTGTGTCTCCTTTAGCTCTATCTACAGAGGTGGCCGCTACAACACCGTTGGTAACAGCAGTTGAGGCAGAAGCATGGGCCTCCTCCTCATTTGCTTGGGTCTGATATTGGCCTAAAGTGGCACACATGCCTGCCGGCACACAGAGGAGGAGCAGGACCACAGTCCGAAGCAGCATGGTGTTGAATTGGCAGCGATCCAAACTGAGGAAACTCTCCACAAGGCGAGGTGTTGTTAACAGGGTGAAAAGAGTTTAGATTGTGAGGGACAACAACACACTCTGCTCCTACTGGCTCTGACAGCCAGAGAGCAGACTTTGACCCATGACTAGATTCTAGCAGACAACAAGGCACTCTGTCATGTCAGGGCAAAGGTTAGCCCTTATCTATAATTCTTCTAATCTTCTCACTCTCTGTGATTCGTGAACACATTGACCAATTTCATCACTGTTTTAATCCACAAAGCTACAACTGGATTTTAATAAATCAAAAGTCACATGGAACCTTCTGGAAAATCCTCTTTGGATTCACTTTTTGGCACATCGAATGCTGGCATTTCAGCCTGTGACCTTTATCAAAAATCACACATTTCAAATGATCTTCACTATGTTTTGATAAAGGTCACAGGCTGACACTTTAACACTGAATAAGCACAGAGACAAACAGAGCATTATCTTATTCATTTGGCATTAGGCAGTGGCATAGATTTTTCAAAGCAACTTGCTTGAGTGCAGGCTTCAGTATGTACTAACTACACGGTACAAACTTCTTATTTGTCTCTACTGCCCTCTTGTGGTTGAAGTGTAACATTGTGGAACCAGATATTGTGCTTTGTCCTTTTACTGACCCTGACCAATAACAGTGCTCTTTTTCACTGATATCAGTTAATTATATTCTGGAGATTTTTTTTTTCTTCCTATGTCTTCTTCAGTCTGTAGAAATCAATACTTATTTTTTTTTATCCTGTATCCCATCTCTAGCTCCAGCTCCGTACATAATAAATCAGACAAATATGGCTGTGACAATGTGCAGGCCTTTTGTTCTGCTTTGAACAGTTATCTTTGCAATTCATTAGCATTTGAGAAGCTCCAGGCTGTGTGCTCATGTGCGCATGCACACACACACCCACGCTGTTTTTATTCCTTGTGGGGACTTTACATTGACTTACATTCATTTCCTGTAGACTTATCCTAACCTTAACCATAACCACTACTTGCCTAACCCTAACCCTGACCCTAATACTTAACCTAACCCTAACCTCATCCTAACACCTAAACCATGTTGCCACCCTAAGATTCAATGATTTCCTTGTGGGGACTAGCTTCTGGTCCCCACAAGGATGGCCGAGTTCCCATGGTGTGAGTATAGTAACAGGTTTCGGTCCTCATGATGTAAGTAATACAAAGGCACATGCACACACACACACAAACACCATTATTTATTTGATTTCTACCTTAAGGTGGAAGATGTTCATACTGATAAATACTAATTGGTCTGCCCTGGGCCACTAAAACAACATATGTGAATTGTCAAATTCATTATTACAGATTAAACTATTTAACAGTATAGAAAGTCAGTAATATTAGCTACGTCTTAACCAACTACAACATTTAAATACTGCTAAAACAATTAGCCAATAGTTATATATATGTGTTGTACATTAACTCTCTTAAAGGTACCAGTCGGTATGACAAGTACTACATCTGGACTGTATGAACATTCTACTTTACAGACTTTTCCTATTTGTATTAAACTGAAAGGCTATGACTGCTGGTTGTCAAAGAGGTGACTCTTTTAAATATGGATTCCTTTATTCTAGTGCAAGTCGCACTTTATCCAGAGCACCCTGTCTGACTTTAAAACAGCCATCTAAAGAAAGACTCTCTGGTTTACTTGATGATGAAGCTATTCGCTCTCTGTCTGAAGGTCACGCCATATTTCATCCCACAACAACCTAGTAGTAAAACAAAGGAGAGAAGCCACAAGTAAGAAAGAGTCATTCCAGTCAATTCAAACATACTATAAGTCCATGATTACATGTACCGTCTTATGGTCTTGCTTGGCTTCTCTCTGTTCAGCATGTTGTTGATTTTGTTTTCCAAATCCTAGTGAGAAAAACCCAGAGCATATACTGTTACACAGCAGGACATATATTTAAGCTCTATAATAGCAAAAATGTGGATATAGCAGAAAATCAGATGATCTCCAGTGCCTTGTTGGTGGTCTTCAGATTGTGATTTGAGGCTATCAGTCTCATTATCTCTGTCTGGAACAAAAAGAATAAATTCTAATAAAAACTGCAGCAATCACCAATCATAGTTCCTGCTTTAATTTTACATCTGAATGAAAGTAAAGGCAAAAATGTTTTAAAGTGATGTCAAAGTCACATTGTGCTATTTATAAGCTTGTGTGGAACAGGGCTATGTGAGAATGAGCAGAGTTTATCTCCCAGCACCTTGAGGACATTCAGTGCCAGTGGCTGTACCAGCCGACACCAGCTGCTCCTTTATCTCCTCCTCCAGCTGCTGAATCTCCCTCCACATGTCCAACACGTGAAGTCTCTTGGACTGGACACTGTTGATGTGGCCGATGACAGTCCCAGTGTCCTGCAGCCCTGCGAGAGAGAGAAAGAGAGAGAGAGAGGTGTACAGTATCTGTCATGAATGTGCGGCAATGACTAATGGTGTATCGTACACACACACACCCCTGTAGGCATTATAAAGTCACATCTGACTCACTGATACCACATTAACCTCTCTATGCTTGACAGTGATTATTTTCTCAGTGTTTGCAGCAGAGAACTACAGTATCATCATGCACAACGTAGTGTGTGCAGCTGGTAATACAATATACCGCAAATGCTTGGACTTTGTTTACCAGTGATTAGATGTGGCAACACAGTGTTGGGACCTACTCTGGATGTCGCTGTCCTCTGGGCTGCTTATAGCTGGAACATTCTGTAATTCATTTCGGACTCTAAGGTTTAAAAAACAAACAAACATGCTTAAACTAATAAGAAAGTACAATGTGTACTGTACTTATTTGGTAAACAGATCTTTGCAGTACCGTTTATTCTCCTCTAGAGCTCTTCTGGCTTCCTGTTCCAGTCTGCAAACCTCTTTTTCTGCCTCTTCCAACTCCTTTTCTCCTACTTTGCCATTTCCGAGATCCTGAAGTGAAGCATTCTGTGACTGCAACATAACAAAAACATATTAAAACTTGCAGTATATTGTTTGCCACAAATGCAAAAGATACAGGGGAGAAATACTTGCTCCTTAGCTAGAAGGTTATGATATGTGTAATGTGCATCTCTCTGAGCACCATAAAAATATTCTGCTTTCAGCTGTCAGGAATACATGATGTTACACACTTTCTTTTGTAATGAATCTGAAAAGATCCCATTGATCAGCATATAGCCTAAAATTACCATTAAAACAAATGACATCCATGTCTTAGGTCTTCTTCTCATTAACTTTTACATGTATATTAAATGAGCAGTGGGTTTTACCATGTCTTGTGCCGATGATTGGGAAGCCATCATATGGTTGACATACAAATCATAATCGGTCTGAAAACAAAAACAAAAACATTTCTCTTTCTGTATTAAGTAGACTCTTCATTAGGTATTTTTTAGATCATGTCAGAAGTTTTATAAGCCTGTGAAAATAATCATTTATGTCAATTTACACCTGGTCCTGGGCTTGTTACATACTGTAAATTTGCTGCAATCGACACAGGCTTCACTAACACAACCACTAGGTACAGATCTTGTATATATCCAGTTACAGTATGTTAAAAAAGTGATTTTTCCAAAATATTGTAATATTTTAGCCACTGTTAAACTACAGACAGGTGACAAATTAAAGGAAAAACCTAAATAAATGAGTGGTCTCTTCCAGGATGAGGATGACAATGGGCATGAGGGGCATAGGGCATGGGGCTCACCGAACGGTCTGATAAGTATGAAAATGATGTGAATCATATGCTACGGCCTGTGCAGTCACCCAGTTAAACACCTATGGGAGATTTTGGAGAAGTGTGTTAGACCACGTCTCCACCACAATTATCAAAACACCAGCTCCAGCAGAGTCCAGGTACTTGGAGAATCAATGCCAAGGTGAACTGAAGCTGTTCTGGTGGCACAACACCTTACTAAGACATTTTATGCTTTCCTTTAACTTGTCACCTCTCTGTATATGTAGTTGTATATTTGTGTCCTCATAAAGGAAAATCAAAAGTATTAATTCTTGTAGTTTCATTCTGTCATATAATAAGATGAGCAGTGATGGAGCCCACTAAAGCCCTGTTCCCTGACATATCATGACCAGATTTCAGTGGTTGCTCTACTTCTACTACACTAGGGAATCGCTCTCTCTTGGCTTGAATACGTCTGGCGGCACATGCTAAAAATGTGCTAGTGAGTACAGAGGAAATGGAAAAACCTTAATTTCCCTCAGGATGTGTCCAAATACTGGCGAGCTTTCACATACATCATCAAAGACGTCACTGAACACCGCAAGGCGGTCTCTATGGGGCCAGCTCTGCGCTGACAGCTTTTTCAGCTCCTGGGTATGACAAGAACACACAAACACACACAACATTAGCAGGTTAAGGGGTGTGTGAGAGCCTGTGCACGTCTTTATCATGCACCTTCTGCCAGAGTGTTGAGTGTTTCAGAATTACCATCTCATAAAAAGTGGCCACATTAGAAAGTCTGAACATTAAAAAAGTGAAATTACAAAACTAGTTGCATGATGCCATGGATTGTGTGACCATTCTCACCTTTTGTAGTTTCCTTTCATGCATTTCAGCAACATTTATTCCAGCCCAGAGGTTCTGCTTGTCTATAGATTGCCTGGCAACCCGTCGGTTTGTCTTTAAATGGTCTTTATTATTCAGGCCTTCCTGATCAGAACAGTTTGAGCAAAATTGTTTCCCCTCCAGAGTAGGCAAAAAGGTTGACGTATCACTGGAAAACGTTCTTGGCTGGACCGGCAAAGAGTTTGAGGAACCATGAACTACCCTAGGAAGACTTTTCACCTCTCTCCTTATTGCATACGATGACTTATCGCTAGTCAGGTCTTGTCTTGATCTGGAGACTTCAAACTTTGTTAAAGTGAACTCAGAGGTAGACTCTTTCATTTCTTTCCTCTTTACATAGGCCACTGCCTTTGTACGTCTTTGCTTGAGTGTCACAGAGTTTGGGCTTTCTTCTTGGCTCTGAGACAACTTCCAGAAAGATTGCTTTGTTTCCCTATGAGGCTGGCTCTGCTTCAGGCTGCGGGGCCCCAGATGACCTGAGGAGTAGGTCAAGATATCAGCCTTCTGACCAGCTTCAGGGACCAGCGGCAGTCTGTGGATGTCGCTCCCCAAGCACCTCGGCTTTGGCTTACAGCTGCGGGACATGGCTACGAAGGCACAAAGCATATTATTGTTAACTTTATTAAAAGGTACACAAGTAATAATGTCTAATATACTGACCTCTATTTAAGTAAGAGGCTCTGTAGAAAACTGCATTTACTGATTTGATAAGATTAAGATTTATCTGTCCTAAATACACAAGTTTTTGACAACAAACTGAGGTAAAGTAACTTAAAAATATTATTTAACTTCTGTAAATCCAGGCAGTGGACCAATAAATCAGAGGGTTTCCACAACAGTGAGGCACTTAGCAAAGAGCCAACACTTACTAGTTAAATGTACTGCTAATAAGAAGTAGAAGCGTGTAGAAAGCAGACAGACACAAACAATAAATAATAACCAGACCTGGGAGCTAACTGTAGGAATCAAGATAAGAAACAAAGTTTCTTCATGTCTGCAACAGCCTGGTCTTTGCTCGGGTGCCAAGGAAACCGAAACGCATGTTCGTTCGCGTTGCGTTCAGCGTCTTGTTAATAGTCGTACCCAAGAGCTTCGAGGTGCTACGTCTCATTTGTTCCTAACGAGGGAAACATGTGAAGCTATGTGTGGAGAGTACTCGACCTCTAAAACGTTCACATGTGATACAATGTGCGCGGTAAATGAATGTTTATAGATGGCTAAGCATTAAAACATGCAAGAATTCAGGTTCAGGTTTGCTGTCATAAACAAACAGGTAAACAAAACTGTAAATTGGTACAAAAACAATTTTCGACTAAAACAACAGGACAAGAAACTAAACTATTTATTTGTATTTTTGTTAATACAAATACCACACGGTTACATTTGCAGCAACAACTTGGATGTCTACAAGGGTGCATCTAGAAAATTTTGGACAGGGTGATCAGGCTGGGGCACAGCCTCAGAGGGGTGGCACATTTGAAATACATGCAAAAAGTAAATTAAACCCCTAGTTCTAGGAAATAATAAACCATTAACAATCAAATTGTTTATTCTGTGTATCCTGCTGTGTAAAACAGCTTTCAAGAATTTAGCAAAATCACCTCATCTTTACTCATGAACCTAGCATAAATACGCTTTTCAGATTTATTCATATTAAAATGAAGTGAATGAATGTATTGTTAAGAAGTAAGTAAAAATAAATAAATAAATACATTTTGTCAGCACAGAAAAGGCAAAGGAAATTATTTTTGGTTTTCCTCCTGGGTTTTAATAATGTAGAGATCAATTATCAATTGTCTCTGGGGTAATTACACAAGTGGACCCGCTAACCAATCAGGAGAGCTGCATTGTCAGCCAGCACTGTCACTGACTCAGGCGCTCTGTGAAACGAATTAACAGTTAAATAAATGCAATTAAATAATTCAAACATGAAATAAAAGGTGACACACAGGTGTATTTTGTCAGGTATTTAATAAAAGTCATTTGGGCTAATGCTCTTACATTTACAGTTGAGACATTCCTCAATTATTCTGGGTGACAGTAACATGTCTAAACCGTATCTTAATGTTTATTTTGTACAAAACAAAAAGGCCAACCTTATTTTTTCTTGTATAAAAAATATAAGTTAATTTAAATTTAACTCTAATTAAGAAAATAACAATACTAATAATAACAGTAATGATAATCATCAATAATTGTAATAATGATAAAGATCATAAACTAAACATAGTGCAGACAGTGGGATATAACTGGTGCTGAAAAGTAGAAGGGACAGTGCTATGGACTTAACCACGTTCTCAGGTGGGGTTTGAGTGGTTAAAGAGCCATTCAAAATATTTCTCACAAACACACATCCACACATACTCTCACCCACAGCATACACACCCGCTCAAAGTGCACGACTGCCATTCAGTTTAGCACCATCAGAGCATACATTTCAATCTGTACAAACTAATTTCTAGATTGTACAGAGGATACACCTATTATCATATATGCAAAATTATATATTAAGCTTAGGTGCATGCTTATTGTTGCTCTTGGTTGAAGTTTACTGGAAGCAATTCTGAAATGCAAGACAAAGCACATCATGGACACTGATGGTGCGCTAACCCACATGCCACTGCTGAGGATCTGCAATCCACAAAACATTCATCAAAATGGACATTCACACCACAGGGGAGCCACAGTACCAGTCATAAAACAGATGATTTGAGTGGTAATTTCAGTCTTTGAGGGACAACTGGAATGACAGTTTCAGACAAAATAATTTGTCTTTTGGAAGATCTCAGAAACTCATTTGAAAGAGTCCAAATGTACCCTCCTTGTATAAAGCCAGAGAGTGAGAATAAGGGAAGATGATTAATTTTTTTTCAGCAGGGTATAGATGTGAGAAGAACTGCAAAAAGTAAATCACCATTCTCAGGTTGCAATCCCAGAGATAGACATTTGATGCACTTTAGCTTAATAAGTTTGACATTATGGAAAATATGAAGCTGACAGTTGCTGAGAATTCTGTTGAACCGCTGTGTCTGGGATCAACAGCAAAATGACAAAGTGCTCATTGCCACTGATGTTTCATACTACAGTTGTGAACCTGAAAAGACACTGATGTATCTCAAAAGGATAAAACATCCCAAACTGCACAGACTATTACTTATTCCACTCTTCACAATTTATTTATTTAGCGCTTTATAATTCATCACGCCTTAAGCATGTGCTAAAAATGAGGGTGTTGTCTGCACATTACATACAGTAAGGCAGTCAACATGTAAAAAGTCAGTTGTGTCACTGCACACAAATGAATCTTTATAATCCGCTGGGACACTTAACCAGCTTGTGCGGCATCCTCATTTTACTTGTGTTTTATTTATGGCTGTTGAAATGGTTGCTGATTAATGAAAGGGACTAGATTGTTACGTAAAATAATTCATGATGTATCGGTGGTGTGGAAAATGCAGTGAGAGTAAAAATTCCATAGAATATAGTCTTGGTTTACTATAAAAGCTGAAACTGAAGCTATTTGTGCATCTTGTGAACTGGCCTGGTGTCAGATCTTGTTAATCAGAACAAAGCTGATATACTAAGCAGCAGGTTCCTAAAAGCTGGGGGCGCTGAGGACAGTGCTCTGGGGTACACATCTGGGAGAAACACTGCAACTCTCTTATAACTGTGTTGAAAAGTGTTGACAGAATCTAATTCCTCTTGTCACAGTTCAACCACATTTGTAGAATATGCTGCAGGGAATAGGCTGTATGTCTTTATTCAAGTACTGCAAAGGATTGTTGCTTAGAAAGTAATAAGAAAACATTCTGACAATCCACCTTCTCAATAAGGTGGCATTACACCATACATACACCTGCTCAACACATTCCTTCTGTCTCTGGGCATACCTTGCTGAAGTAGTGCGCATATGATAAACCTACCACAGAAGGTAACAGTACCATTTCAAAAAAGCCTGAACCGACAACAAGATTTCACATATCCTAGCCTGTGAAAGGTTCAGAATAAGGCCTCTGCAAATACAAGACCATAAAAAAATCAGCTAAAAAAAGACACACACACACACACAAAATAAAATAAAACAGCAAAAATATAACAACTAAAATGGCACAAGTCCATTCTACCAAAGGGATTTCCCAAGCTTAGTGGATGTAGGGTGATGGGTGGAAGTCCCTCCCTATCTGCTGTCTGTCAGTCTCTGGGATCAGTGAAACCGTCAGTGTTGACACCTCCGTCACCCAATGAGGTAACTGTGTGTTTTCAAAGTCAAGTTGCCTTGAGCTGATCCATCTCCTGTTAACACAGAATGTGGGTTCCTCCCCCTACAATGTTCCAGGTCTGTGGCAGGATTCGGGGTGTATTCCTTTGGTGGGCCAGCAACCCTGTTGGTAGTCAGTTGTCCACCTTGACAGGGCCAGAATCGCAAGGCCGGCTGGGCACTATGTCCTCTGCTTCTCCCCGTGCTATCTTCTCCCATTGGCTTAGGTTCTCCCTGCAAACACAGAAGACCTCCATCAGATTGAGACTGGTTTACAATAAGGGCTGTACTACTACTAACACAGACATCTCATTAATTTTACGCAAAGATGTCATGTTGCATGCAAAATAAGACAACAAAATCATGTCAACAAAGATACAGCAATGTAAATAGGACAAACAGCTGTGACATTTACTTCAAACAAAAACCCACTGAATGAAACTGTATAATACTTTTCTTTTTTGAAAATTCAAATTTTATGATGCTAAATGTGGCATTTTGATTTGATTAAGCTATTAGCAGATGTTACTTATTTGCTTGAATGAAAAGTAAATAATCTAAGTACTGAAGCTAATTAGCACACAACATTGGAACACTTTGCTGCCACTAGGGTGTGCATGAGATTTTAACTATGAATTTGACAGTTGTTAGAAATCCCACAACAAGCAGCCAGGTTCCGTGAGGTCTAGGCCTGCTGCCCACCCAGGGGCCGGAGCTGACGTACACACAGGGCTTAAATATTACACTGCTGACTTTGTTTGCATTCCCCGCAGATCAAGGTGCTTTAAAAACCACCAGGTTATCCCAGAAGGACAGGTAAACAACCAGAAATTATGCATATGAATACATTCTTACACGCAGAGACATGCACACACACACTGATGCACCAAATAATTAAAAGCAACTATTTACCCTTAGCACACTGTATTGTATTTTATTTTAAAATTCTGAACACAATTTCAGAAGTCTATAGCACAAGTTTGTTTAATCCAATATATGTGTGTTTTGTTTGTATTTCCAGGGGAATGATTGGAACGTGTGCCATACACACAGTCCTTATCACCTCTGATCTCACTGTCTGTCTAACTGTTGCTGGTCAGACAAGGCCAGCACACACATCACATGTTGCACTTCGAGCTGTTGTCAGTACATTTTTGTCTGTATCAGATCAGCGCAACACAATTGTGTGAAGAAACTTTTGATTTTGTGTTTCTGACCTATTATCCAAAAGAAGTACAAAATAGAACACTTAAAATCATACTGTTATTTCATAGTAATTAAATTCCTACACACATATCCCATATCGATTGTTTGTCACCTCAGAATCTTGCTTGGGTTTTGTTATTGCCAAGGCAAACAGTGAAGGATGAGACTTTCGCTTTGAATTCTTACTTGCAGGCTTTTAGAAGAGGACTCGACTGAGGGAGAAGCTTTGATAGTGTCGTGTAACATGGAACTGCAACAGCGTTGTAGAATCCCACCTTAAAAAGAGGAAAAAGTATATAATTTAATAACAATTTATAATAACAAATTGTTTGTGTAAGTGTTTTAGGAACAGTCTGATAAATTAAGATACATTAAGGATCAATCAAAAATGTAGCACATCCAACAACTTTATTTTTTCTATGATGTGTTAACAATAGGCCATTTGTGGAGGAGGGGACAATTAGGAGGGGGCAAATGATGCCATGAAAGAACAACACCCTCATTAGTGTGTGATTTGTTGGGGTGTAATTCATCCTAAATGTAATACAAATGCATCACAATATCTAAAATCTAATCCAAAAATTTTGAATTTAAAAAAAAATCCTCTTATGCCATATTTTTAAAATGGCAATTTAGTCATTAGGAGCAGAGTGTTATTTGAGGATTGTGTCTGTAATTTGGGTACCAGCTATTTGGTTGCCAACTACCTGACGAGGCTGTTAACTGCCTTATGTCAGTGAACTTCACATAATGTATGGGCTATTAAATGAGTTACTTTAACAACCCTGCATGTGTTTTCAATTACCCTGCATGGTTAGATCTCCAGTCAGATCGAAGCTGGGTGGAGCTACACTGGAAATTATGTAATACACAAACTGAATAAAACAATATTTAAATTGCCACAGCACCAAGAGGAGATAAAAACAAGACAGTGAAGCAGCTGTTTCATCCATGTCGGCATTTGTTAAAATGTATTGTAAATGTTATAAAGCAAGGTTTATCAAACTACTTCTACCCAAAACATTCTTCCACTTACTACATTTTTACTCTATCTCAGTATATATTAATGTTAGTTATTGTACTGTGTTTGTTTCAGGTCATTTTATCCTTTTTAAGTCAACTACTGATAACCCAAGCAGGTTATTCTAGTTCTCTTTCCACCCCTGGCAATTGTGGTTTCCTCTTATTTTGTTGTACTTAAAACTTTTATAAATACCACCTGATTCTCTTAATTCCACACCATCCGAGTCTAGAATTTTAAAAAGTTTTGAGTGTGTGTGAACTAGAGAGCTACCACAGTTAGTCTCACTTGGCCTTGGGGAATCTCATCCTTCTTGTCTCTGTCCATCATAGGGATCGGCTGAATCCCAATCTTCTTCATCTCATCTCCCTGTGGAGGAAATCGTCTTTAGTTGTTGCAAATGTCTGGGCCAGCTGACAACACTATTTATGGCTTGCAAACTACAGGGCAGCTAGGTGTAGCTAGCAGCGTTTCAAGCAGTAACAGAGGTCTGACTGGAGGCGTGAAACTGTTTAAACTCCAACAGTGTCCCACTGTACCTCAGCCCAAAACTCAGCATAGATGTCGTTGGCTATGAGTCGTGTGATTTGCCATTTCTTGGTAACAGAACACAGGTCACATGCTGTCATCATCAGACCAATCATACGGTCCCTGGAGGGAAGCAAAGTCTCTTTATAGCAACGTGGAGAAACATAATGTGCTGTTTTATCTGCACCAGGTACACTGTTCTCTGTGTGACACTATGAGAACCTGGCATGAGCTAACCTGATCTATGCACAAGTGCGAGTCGTGACCTGACCTGTGTGAGTGGTTGTTCAAGTCCAGCGCACTCGAGGTCAGCAACTCTGTCAGTTGCTGGTGGTTGTTGAAGTACAGGGCAAGGTCTGTAGCAATGATGGCCTTTCTGATGATCTCCAGCACCTGCTCATACTCACTGGAATTCAGGTTGGAGAAAATATTGTGCCCTTCCAGCTATGAGAAACAAAGAGATCAATAAAAAAGCAAAAGCTCCACTTATGAGGCGTTCAGCTCAGCTAGACTACAACAGGTTGTAATCGCAGGGCCACCCCAGGTTTGGCCCTGCAGCAGATCCTGGACATTACAGCAGAGGGCACTCAGATCTAAATCGTATGATGTTTTCAATGGATCTGTGTGTGTGTGTGTGCTTAAATACTTCTAGAAATGACATGTTCATGTAAGTATTTCTATCTTTACATGTGTAAAAATTTGAAAAAAGTTTTTAAAAAGTATTTATAGATGTGAAGAACATTTGCTTCTTACACATAAAAATGTATTAAGGACAATCAAATGCTGTTAAACAAATTTAAACAACTAAAATTAAAATTTAAATAAAATTCTAGATATTTTTCTCAGTGGTTTTATTCTCTAAATGTCAGCTTTGTGGAAAATATGAGTCTTTGAACCTCACTGTGCACTTTTGCAAAATTTGTGTAATAAGTTAAGTCGAAGATATGCGTGTTAAACAGTGATAAGGTCAATATATGTCATGCTAAGAACATAATGTTTTACTAAATATTAGCATTTAAAAGACAATAAATACTCAAAAACACTGACTTTGATTGTGCAGCAAGTTCTGCATAGTGGAGCTCTACCTGTAGGATGGAGACAGTCTGAGAGAAGTGGTGCTGCTCCATGGTAGAGGTGGAGTACAGAGCAGCCAGTGGATGGTCAAACTTCTGGAGGTATGTGTTGGTGTAGCCCCGATGGTCCAGATCATGGCACAGACAGGCTATCAGCAAACCTTTCTTCTGTAAACCAGAGTGGATTAAAATCACACACTGACCTCAGGCATACATCTTGTTTCCAGTTTCATTTATTTTTGTCTAGCTGTGAAAAACCCAGACCCAACAAGGAGCAAACCTCTAGCTCTGTGAAGATCCCAGAGGTTTTCTGTAGGATGGCGTACATACAGTGTGCCACTGTCACCGCGTGCTTCCAGTTGTGGTAGGGCACACGTCGGTAGTTCTTCCGTACGGACATGGTGAACCGACACAGCTTCTCCAGTTCAAAACTACACACAGTGAGAAAGAACCAAACAAATAAACAACTGCTTTGAGGAAATACTGACTTTGATAAAATCACAGTGACACTTCACCTGGTCTTTCCACAGGAGTTATGGACCATGTAGATAAAGACAGCAGGCCAGATCTCCTCAAAGGGACTCATGTCAAAGTGAAACCTGGATAGGGAGGACGAGATTGGAGGAGAGTCTTAAATTAGCATGTACATCACCCCTAAGAGAAGAAGAAGGACAGATGAGGGAACCTCTGAGGTCTGGGAGTGTTGAACTGACAGGGTGACATCCAGAAGCCCCACCCCTTCCTACACAGTGTGAGCATCCCCCTCTTCATCCAGGTCTGGACTCTTTCATAGACACGAGGCTGTAGGCCAACTACACTTAGGGTCATGGCTTTCATCTCTCAGCAGAGACAGAGACAAAAGCATGTTCCAAAAATGAACTCACATTTCAATCTCTTTATAGATGGGTGCAGGGAGGTTGAGCTGGGTAAGGGTCTTCCATTCTTCTGATGTGCAGATGCTGTGATAAGACAGTTTTTCCATCGTCACTCTGTAAATACATTCAGAGTGCCGGATCCTGTGGTACATCTATGGGAATCACAGAACAGGAAATTAGTCTTTAAAATGTTCTGAGAGAAACTGAACACTCCAGTGCTATAAATACCATAGAAATACCATCTTATATCTGCTGAATTCTTTAAATATCACTGTTTCCAAAATGGCCAGCTAAAGTTATCTGCAACAGTCCTGAATCATATTTTACTTGCGTATCTCCAAAACGGGGTTCCACATCTAGTTTGCATCCTTGTTACCTTCCCAGACAGTCAGCTACAGGCATCAAGCCTCACACCTTTCACAATAAATCACCATAAATCAGGAGCAGGCCTAAGTGAGTTTCCTAGAGTAGCAAGGCATAAATTACAGCTAAACATAAACCCTGTCAGCAGACAGATGGAGACTACTTTCTTAAAATATTAACAAGCCTCATGAATTTTAAACCCAACTTTGTGACGCTGCTCCTGCGTAAGTTTGTCACATGAGATGATGCCGGGTCAGGCCCCACAGAGAGGAGAGACTTTGACAGACAGACCACAACACAAGCTTTGAGCGTTAGCATGATTCATGACATGCCTCTGTGTTTCATGTAAGGGATAATCATTATTGCCAACCAATAAAAAAAGAAGCTTTTATTCATATTTTGGAACAATCAAACCTCTTGGTGCTATCTACAGTATGTCAACACTGGAAATGAATGGTATTTCTACTCAAATAGGGCAACTCACAGCCAAAGCCTTCCAGCTATGAGTATGAATTTAGAACAGTGATGAGGTCATTGCGTCAAAGATGCAGTTACTGTATCTGAATAAGCCAGAATCAAGCATTCATGATTGTGAAGTATTATATAATCTTAACATAATTTGCCTCCATTGCCAAAGATAAAGCGTAGGCTTGTGCAGGCAGCTATAAAGAAAATTATGTTTTTGCTGTTGGAGCAAATCAGTTGCTTATTTAAAAATTTTAAGACTAGTTCATGGTACTCACATTTGCACAGTGTAAGGCCAGAGCACAAAAGACAGCAAACATCTTAAAGTTGTTCTCATCTGTTTTAGTGAAGGCACTTCCGCTTAACTTGTTCACCATCTGCACCACACCTATAACGGACCCCCTGCTCACAATGGGCATGCACAGGATGTTCCGCGTAGTGTAGCCAGTTTTGAGGTCCACCTCTCTGTTAAGGAAAACAAAAACACCAATTTGACATTCAGCATTGTGGTTATTACTTGACTTTATAGTGCAGCATGTTTCAGTCTTAACTGTCGATGTACACAGTGTATCTATAATGAGCAGGAGCATGGCTACTGTGCTTTTATCATAAATACAGCTGAATTAGTACATTGAGGTAAAACTGTCAGGACAACTCATAGCACAGCTTCAAGAAAGCTAATACATACAGTAATAGAAAACAAAGTAAAAATAACTTTTGACAAAGTCCATTGGAGTTTACCGGTTGAACCGTGGGTCTGCATAGGCATCTGGGATATTTAAGACCTCCCCTGTCTGAGCCACTTGGCCAGCTATTCCCTTGTCTATAGAAAACCTACAAGAAAATTAGAGCAGAAAAGGGAAGAAAGGAGATGATTGCCTGTCAAGGCTTTCCAGGGCCACCCAGTGGATAGGTGAAAATCAATTTACAGAATCAATATTAAAGCGCTAATATCAAAATCCATGTGAAAACTTGATTTTAAGAATGAAATTCACAGTACAAATAGTGTCTAGATTCACCATTTGTGCTCAGATATTAAAAATGATGTTCCATTGTAACTGTACGATGGCATTAAATCAGTAAGTTATTAGAAATTTTCCTTTTTTTACTGACTTTTTCCTTTTTTCTGCATTTGTCACAAGAGGATCTTTGTTTACTCAAAATTAAATGTGTACAGATAAAAGAGTAAATCTTACACACCTAATTTCTTTGGTTTTCCTAAACACTGGTTTGCCTTCTTTCTCCTCCCCAATGTCGAACAGGTCCGAGTACAGTTCTTTATTGTTGTGATCTACCTGGAAGAGTGCGCATCGGTCCGCATTCACCAGGTTTTTTGCATATATCTGCAAAACAGCACCAGGGACAGCAGCTCATTAGCAACACTGAGGTTTTGCAAGAACTGTAAAACACAACAAATCAAATCATATATATCACTGCAGTTTTAATTGATTCTCTTAGAGAGAACAAATAAGTGTGGAGAACTAAACACACACAAAGTATAACCACAGGTCATTCCAGTTCATTTCAGTGTTTGAATCAGATGACTTGAATGAACTGAGGTGACACCATAGCCACAAGGAAACAAAATACATATTAACAAAGAAGTGGTTTTTAGTAAAAGACACAAGAAAATCATGTCTCACACTCATCCAGATCACATCTGTTTTACATTTACAAGGTAGAAAAAATATTGCAAGCTGAGAAACTTTCCTATTTTAGATTGACCCAAGTTTAAACATGTATTTAACATGTCAGTTAATCTACGTTATACTAATAATGAAATGTTGTCATGAGAAGTACTCCACTATTATTATTTTATATATTATTAATGCCTGTACTGTTAGCAGTGGACCTCAGGTAATGAGATAGCCCGTGTGTATCTGTATTACAGCAGCATCATGTGCCTTTTTAACACACATAACCTAACACATACTCTCAGGATGTGTAGCCTTGAAGACAATGTGAATGAACACATACTTGCAAAAATCACACTCACCATAATATGTTCAAGTAGAGAATCTATTGCCACAATGTTATCAAAGTATGTTCTGTGCGAAAAGAAGAAATGGCACATTGAGATGTTTGACAAATGGGAAGCTCTGACGATGTTCACACTCAAGACGTGGAAGCTACTGTATGTGGCCTAAAATGCAACGTTTTCTTCTATTTTGTGAGCAAAATGTTTTATTCATTAATTTATTTATTAATACTAACTGGCTTTTTTTTGTTATGCATAGACTACAGTAAGAACATGGTGTAAATACACTTTTAATAGGCTTTCATTAGCATTAATTTGGTGTTAGGTAAACTCTCCCACCAGCAGCTCTTACTTTGACACATCTAGTAGGAAGTCATTGAGCTCAGTTTGTTTGGCCAGGCCTCTGCACACCTAGAAACCGAGAAAATAGGTCATGACCCAGCATATAGACAAAGATATGTCCCACAAAACACACATAGCATCCTGCATGTATTATAAACAAACTGACTTGTTGTCTACACACTTGGCTGTGGGGCACCCGCATGAACAACAAAGTGCTGTGCAGCAAGTGGTTGCAGTGCACTGCAGTGTGCTGCAGTGCTGCGCTGCTCACTGAGGCTCTGAGGCCCACTGTGGCCAGGGCTGCAGTGGGATGCTGCTTCTCTAAGGTGTTTATGGATTTTGTTCATGCAAATACAGTACTGGGGCATAATGACGTCCTTGAGGAGCTGTTTGTTGAATTTGTGGTTTAGATGATTGGACCGGACCCAGTGACAACCCAGTTTCTGTACACAGTGGATTTCCCCATGAAAAAACACCAGAGCAGAACCAGAGCAAACAAACTCACCCGAGATCATAATAAGTGAGGTGGCTAGGCTTCACCTTTTTCCCAGACATGTCTTGGGAGAAGCATTACAGTGTGTATCTGCTACAGTGCCCAATTTCTAATTCAGACCAGTTCTCCGTGGACGTTTGCTCACCTGTACTTGATGAATGGCAACTGCCGCCCATGCTAAATTAGCTGTTGCAACCTGGAAAGGGAGATGAAGTTTAGCTCTGAAAAACTAACACAAATTATCACACATTTTCTGGGCTTGATCTGTTCTTACATTTCCTCTTAATTCAACTTAATTTTCTGTTCTGCATATCAGGTAGTCTCATAATCACAGAGGAGATTCAGAGCCCCTCTGGGGACACAGACTCACACCTGTAACGCTGCTGTGAATGAGGTTTATTACTGGGGTTTAAAATTCATGCAAGGCAAAACTAAAAATACATTAATCAGCATTTTTCAGTTAAAAAAAACAGGTCAAATGACAACATAAATACAATGTGTTAGGGGTCATGCTTAGTGACAAACCCACAGAGAATTATTATGCAACACAACGATTCCCCTCAGCTCTTCAAAATCTTTTAGCATGTTTTAGCTCCTTGTTTTGGTTTTATAACCTGCAAATTAGGCTCGCTTTCACCACACCCATCTTCCTCATTAGCAGCAGCTGTTTTAAGTGAAAAAGCACTGACAAACTACTCAGTACTACCCAGCACCAAATACAAAGTTAGCAACTGGCTAGTGAACACAGTGCATACCTTTAGTGCACAAAGTGTAGACCAAACCATATTTATAAATATTGTTAGGAGAAATTTGTTTGGAAGGTTTAAAAATTTTAATGTGAATCCTCAAAGTTACTGTAGTGTGATTAAATCATTACTATACTATATATAATTAATTTACCTGCTAACTGCACTGCCATTTTACAGAATGTATTTCAAGTATTTTTCATAATCAACTGAACCCCACAAAGCTGATCAAAATGTTAAACAGATCCAGATTAAGGTGAATACCGGGCTTTCTTCAGCCTCCACCTCTTGGTGTGTTTTTCTGGGTCAGACTGACCTCCTGGTGTCTGAGGTTGAAGGGCTCCTTGCCCCAGTGCCGATGCAGCTCCAGGATGGCAATGAGGTCCCCGATGGCAGTGAGAATGGGGAGGCACAGGACAGAGTGAACATGGATCCCTGAGTCCTGCCCTGTGCCTTCGGGGAAGCGCTCATCCTGCAACAGAAGCGGTTGTGGAAGGTCATTAGAAGGTCAGTGTAGCTGATGCACTGACTGATGACAAAAGAGACAAATCCTAACAGCTGTCACTGAGCAGGGCAAACATTTTTAAGACATGTCATTGAGCTGTATTTGCCACTGTGCACTAGTTGTAACATGACAAATGTCAATCTGTGAGCCATATGCTTAATGCTTAAAGAAGTGCACCTTAATAAAAAGTTCAAACTTTTATGATTTGATTCTTTTGGTATTTTTGAGACTTGGATGTTTCTTACTGCAAAGCACCTTTGCTGATATTTTCTTGACCTTTAAAGCACTTCAGAGATATTTTCCAGCAGTTTCTTGGACATGTATTTAGAGTGTGAAATGTGAATGAGGACACTGTCCTCCAGTAGGAAAAGTGGACACTGTCCACAAGTGTGGGGTCCCCCATAAATTCAAAATGAAATTCAATGTATTATTTTATTTTGATGATGCAGAGAGCAACCAGATGGTGATAAGCAGGGATGATATAATGAAACACATATACAGGACATCAAGTGATTTGTAATTGACTGTCATGCCTATGCAATGAAAAATTGGACTTCCCTGATGAGCAAATCTGTACTGGTTGAAAGAAAACAGCCTTACCCCCATGATGTCCTCTACTAGCAGTGTTCTGCGAGTCTTGGCGACATGAGCGGCAATGGTTGTCCCAAATGCGATGGGGCCAGAGGGAACGAGGCTTGGAGGTCCATCCTTGGCCCTCATTGGAGTGAACATACACAGACTCTATTGAGAAGCATAGACAAGAACAGAAAGGAAAACAGAAAAACATCAAATACATGCACACAACTGTATTCGTGTATGAAGTGTATTCGGCAAATGTCCTCTGCACTTACATTGTTGCAATCTCCCAAGAAGTAAAGTGCAAATGAATCAGCTTTTGTTGCTGTAGTAGTAAGAGACACACAGTACAGGTCACATGTACAGGGCAGGTGCTTTAAATACAGATAGACCAGTAACTGTACAGGGCAGGTGCTTTAAATACAGACATATAGACCAGTAATAGCTGACATTAGCAAACAGTGTCTGTTCATGTTATAGTCCCTCATACAGGTGTGTCCCACAATAAGTGACAGGTGCAAATTGAGAGGGAGTGTACAAGGAGGAAAGAATCCATTTGCAATCTAATAACAATATTCTAACAATGTCCCACGTAACAAGAAGGGCACTCTGACCGAGGGTTTTGAACACATCCAGATAATTATGGGTATTTGGGTGAGGTCTACCACAGCAGGCCATACGGTTAATGTCAAAAGAGTGCATTTATTGAACTAAATTTGATTTGTAATTGACAAAACTTTGTGCCACCTCTTAGATTATTCACCACAGAAAATGTTCTCAACCTCTTTACAATTGGTGCGAATTCATTTTAGAAAATTTTGATCCCAGTTTCAAAGGGAGATGTTTGTACAGCATAAACATTTGTCAAAATAAAGAGGCATTTTGTCTCTAAAATGGACATGGATATTGTCACTTTGTGGGTTGTGGCCCCAGTGTGATGTGAACCGAACCTGACAGGATCAACAACCTAGCTGATGTCTGTTGTTACCTGTTTTGATGATGTTGCCCAACTCATAGAGCAGGAGTTTGTTGTCTCCTCCAGTGTCCAGGCGCTGCTCCATGTAGCTGTTAAGTTCATACACCACACCCTGCATATTTGTGTCCTGGTACTGCTGGACACAAGACACAGAAATTACAACTTCACAGTCTCACATAAACATTGAGACTGAATTTAAAATTCAGGAACTGCTACAACAAAGAGAAACTGACAACAACCTGTGTTATGTACTGTAACCACTCTGTAGCTACTAATTCAAATAGCAAGCATTTTTTCAATTCAAGGGTATTATCTCCTTGCCATTCACAAAGACAGAGCCATTCATCACAACACTTCCCACCACCCCACCCTGTCACTCCCCTTCACTGTTGCATTCTGACCCAGGGATTTCTCTACAATCCTGAGAGGAGGCCACTGGAGCCCCACAGCTCTGATTAGCACCCTTTCAAGCGCAGCCTCAGCTTAAAGTGTGGTTACACAAGAGGCAGACATTCTGTCTTGTATGGGGCCAGAGAACCATCTATTTCTGCACCTACACAGAGGGTGAGGACAGGACGCCAGGGAGAGTGGTGCACTAGAAAGTCTTCCCCATGGAACGCCTTCTATCCTCCCACATCCCGTTTGCACAGATGTATGGATGACGCACTGAGGGGTCGAGTGGCCCTAAATCTTTTTCTGTGTATGTGTGTGAAGTCCTTTTTACTCAACTCCAGGCCCCTGCTGTGGGCGCTGACACCCTTCTTCTAGGGGTATGATGGTGTCA